CACACCTATACCCCCCTCCAAAAAAAAAAAATTTGACCCCCAAAAAATTACCCTCATTTCAAGTAAAAGAGCCCTAAATTTTCATAAAAAAAAAAGCAAAAAAAAACGCAAAAACACCAAAATTTTCTTACTCCCAAAAAAATTTTTTTTTTACTTTGGAAAAAAACGTTATTAAAAACACCCAAAAAACAACAAAAAAATTCCAAAAAAAAAATAAATAAAAAAACCGGGAGAACAGGCGAAGAAAGAATTCTGTGGGATTTAAGAGAAAAAATAATTTCCCCAGTGCGCCCCAACCTTGATTTTTAATTAATTTTATCAATATAGTCTAGTAATAAAACGGATCAATACGACTACAACTTCAATTGCTTTTTACATTTGTGAAGTGTTATAGACTAAATCGATCATTGGAAATATTTACATGGTTGTCAAGAGTGTGTTTACATGTTGCCTGGGTGATGTAAACATATAGCAGACGTTTATTGACAGTGGAGAGATTAGAGTATTTCACAAGAAAATCATCTGTAGGTGTTTATTCATTCTATTATTTTGTGTTGTGAATAGATTCCGTTGTAACATTTTATTGGAATTTCGTCAATTTGATCATATACTCAAAAAATGATTGCTACACAAAATTACACATGGACGGATGAACAAAAAGCAACTATTTTAGAACATCAGGCTTTTCATATGAATATGACTCATTTTTTAAATAATGTTGTGATAGAAGGACCAACCAAGACGTTTCCGAGGAAACCAAAGAGTAATTTAAAGCAAGTAATCATGACAAAGAAAACAAAAGGAGTACAAAAACGAAGTCATGAACAACTTCATGCATATTTAGTTGAACACTTTATAGAAACAAAGAAGACGATAGACAGAGATGTGTTTCTGTTTAAACTTGAGGACATTACCACTGAAGAACAAGCGCTTGAAAAATTAAAAGACGGGTTTAAGCATCTTAAACGTCAAAATGCTCAGACTCTCTTCTTTTTTATTCAATATGGAATGTTGCTCAATGATGTTTACAAGAAAATTTTCGAACTACGTATTCAAGGGATTATCACTATTACATGGGGTAAGTGGCTTCTTGAAAACATTGGGATTCATCCTTCCTATGCTCGAAGGTTGCGGGAATGTGCAAAATCGTTGGGAGGATACTATAAACTTTATAAAGTTGGACTTTCTTTCACCGAGATCTTCAAGCTTAAGAAAGAACTTGTAGCTTTGTTTAACAGCAGCCCAGAAATGAACACATTTTGGCAAGAAAATCCTGATATATATTCCACACGAGAAATGGAATCATCTCAAGAAGTCATGACTGCCGACGCTGTAAGAGGATACGCCATTTAAATTATGTATAGTACAATATTTGTTCTTGTTTGTCATGTACAATCCCACTTTACTACCGTAATTCATAACATGGTAACGGTGACACTACAGTAGCGCCGTTGCTAAGGATTTTGTGTTGACTATTAACTGATAATGGATTCTGTATTACTTTACTACCGTAATTCATAACATGGTAACGGTGACACTACAGTAGCGCCGTTGCTAAGGATTTTGTGTTGACTATTAACTGATAATGGATTCTGTATTTCTACATACCTGAGTGACTGTTATATGTACATGGATGATAATGTGTAATTTTGCAAATACTTTTACAAATGAATGTTATAATAAAGATTTAAAACTTAGTCATTTGTAATTCTTGTTCATAGAAAGCACCTGTTATTTCTTCGCCTTTTAAATCAATTATTTTATAAGTAAAAGGAATTGTATTTAAAACTTTTTCAATTACAAATATTTCTTTAGTCCAACGAGTAGTATAACCCTTTTCAAATTTACCCTTTTTTTTTGTTATTCTTACTCTAGTACCTACTTCGAATTTAGGTTTTTTAATTTTCTCTTCCTTTTCTGGATATAAATTTTTATACACTGTTAATTCATTTTTTAATTTACTTGCTTGAACAGGTGTCATTTTAATTGAAGAATGTACTGTATTATTATAATTTTTAACTAATTTATCTAATATATCATAATATTTTAAAGTTTCATTAGCAGTAAAGTATTTATACATATGTTGTTTCATTGTTCCTATCCATCGTTCCACTACACTGGATTTTTCTTCATTCTCAGTTGAATATAACTTTATGTTATTATCTTTTAACAATTCTTTTACTTGTCGATTATAAAATTCGGATCCTTTATCTGACCAAATATATATTGGTTTTCTTTCTTTAAATAATGTTTTAAATGCTTCACTCACTGCTACTCCTGTTTTATTTTTCAATGGAATCAACCAACCATATTTACTAAAAACATCTATAACTGCTAATAAATATTTATAGTGTTTATTTTGTTTTGAATATTGTTGTATATCTATCAAATCAACTGCCCATGTTTGATCTATTGAATTAACATAAACACGTCTTTTAGGAAAAGATTTTATAACTCTATGATGTAATTCATCTGCTAATTTATTTGTTAGATTTGTTTTAGACATTTTTAAGTAACTAAAATGTTTTCTTAAAAAATGGAGGCAAAAAAGGATAAAATTTTATCCAAGCGAGGAGATTCATATAAACTTGTTTTGACAAAAGAATATAAACATAAAGCAAGTATTTATGTATTTAATTATAAAATTAGTCTAAAGGATGAAAAACAAGAAACATTTACAAATGCTTTTGACCACATGGTAGACTATTCCATAAAAGATTACCCTAATGGAAGAATTAAAATAGTACCTATTCATGAAATCATAATTACTAAACATAAAAGCTGGCCTATAAGAACATATAATACAGTTAAAAAGTTATTCATGGATCAAATGGAAAGATTATTAAATAGTGCTGAAGAATTAAATTTAGAAGAAGTTATTTTTGAAGTTACTATTATACCCAATAAAAGAGGAAAAGGTAAAGCTTTAAAAATATTAGATGTCATAAATAAAAGAAGTATTATCAAAATAAAAAATGATGATACAATATGTTTATCAAGGGCAATTGTAACTTCTTTAGCTTCAAATAAGTTATTAAAAGATTTTACAGATTCTCAATTAAAACATATCAATGAAAGTAGACCATTACAAAAAAGATTAGCTGAAGATTTGCATGAACAATCAGGAGTAGAAATAAAAGAAGAAGGAAATGATTTGGAAGATTTAAAAGCTTTTGAAAATTATCTTAATATTAGGATAATTGTTTTTACATCAAATAGTACAGAATATATTCTATATGATGGTAATGAAGAATATAATGAACAAATATATTTATATTATCATGATGAACACTTTGACACTATAACAAATATAACAGGATTTTTAGCTAAACGTAGGTTTTGTAAAGTATGTTTAATTGGTTATACTGAACAACATACATGCAAAGATAATACAGTAACAACTATCAGAAAACAACATATTTGTGATAAATGTAACAAAACATATACAGGTAAAAATCACAAATGTGGTGAAAAAATATGTTTAATATGTTATGAAAAATACACGGAAAGTAATGAAGAACACTTATGTTATATGAAACCATCAGTACCAAAACAAGTAAAAAATAATAAATATATATATTTTGATTTTGAAGCAAATCAAGAAACAGGAATACATATAATGAATTTTTGTATAGCTTACGATTTAGAAAATATTTATTGTTTTAAAAATAACTATGTAAAAGTATTTAAATGTGATTTCAATATTGATAATTTAAACTAGTTAGAATTAGACATAGATGATTGTTTTAGTGATGTAGAAAAAATTAAATATGAAACAAATTCTGTAATAGACAACTTTTGTAAATATTTCATAAGAGATAAATTTAAAGACTACACTTTTATTTCACATTATGGAAAAGGTTATGATATGCAACCGATTTTAGGATACATTGTAAAAAATAAAATGATCATATCAAAGCTTACAGTTATGGTAACATCGGAGTCCTGGTCGTTGAAAACGTATGTTCCCTCTCCTTGAAAAGAACATGCATATCCCGTGAATTTGAAGTTAATATCAAATTTCTTCTCACACACCCTCGATATATCATAACGAACTGCACAAACACTTTGTAAATAAAGGATAAATAAGCACAGAAAATATGAGACAGCCATTTTTTCAGAAATTGTCATGTGGTTTATTTGCGCGGGAAATATTGACCTCTCTAGGGGCTTTGATGAATCTATTAAAATCTAGGTTCTGAATGGTATTTTTTTGACGAATATCACGAGTTGTCTCTCTCCAAACACAAAATATGGTGAGATTTATAAAACCGCTGAATAAATGTCTTTCAATGGCTAAGGTAGTTTCTTGTTATATGTTTTGTTATCCAACGTGGTTTTCCACTGCCGACTGGTATGGGGGTATAGTAAATAAACTAAGTTCACTAGGTTGTGCCTCTCTGAAATCATCCATGCTTAGAGCTACCATGATTAAGATAAAATGTCGTTAAATTTCACCCTTTTCTTCGTTTTAAGGCTCCGCTTCTTTACTGATCTGGGTTTGTTTTGGTTTAGATTTAGTCGTTTTCAATCGTTTAACTGTTGTCTTCTTTACACTTTTGCTTTTTTGTTTATATTTTCTAACCGTCTTAACTTTTCGACGTTTTTTTAGAATTACGGATTAATTTCGATGCAGTTTTTCTTTTTATACCTTTCCTCACAGTCGCCAGCTCCGATTTAGCTTGCTCCACGACTTGTTGTGATGGGGAAACTAGTTGAAGTGTAACTGGACTTGGTTCCTTTGTTGCGTTTGATCTTTTCTCAATGGGATCCACAACCGACCTTTCTCCTCCCGTCAATGATCCACCAAATTGTCTCGTCTGAACTCCCCTGCGGTCTGGGTATGAGTTATGTATTTCATTGGTGGGGTTTTTGTAGAAGTTTATCCATTTTTGAATATCTGGGACATACATTTTATTACCATCCATCGCAGAAAAATGGGAAGGATTTAAAATGTAGTGTTAGCGTCGACGTTTCATCCAAGAATGAAGCTTGCTTGTTCAACCGATCTGTTATATAAATATCAATATCATATAATTCCTTAGTATTGACTTGAATGTAATAAGGTGAATCGATTACCGAATTCCAGTTCCCGGGTTGAAAAGGTGTTATTCTCCTCAAAAGTGGGTTTTTTTCACCCTCAACTATAGAATCTTGACAAATACTTGAATGTATGTAAATTGGGTCTTGTATAGAAATAGTGCTCCCTATATCGGCTTCTACTAATGCAACCTTCCATATTCCTTCTAAAATGAGAGGAGCATTAAAGCGAGATTTAAATCTAAAGGGTGTATTGTCTGGGAAATAATTGAGTGACTTGTCACTGCTCAAAACCACGTATATGCTCATATTTCCTTATGTATGCCTTAAACGTCACTGATATCTCGCTCAGGGATCCACTGGTTATATTTATCAGGCCACCCATCAAATTTAACCAGCCATTCAATTTGTCCGTTTTTTCTGCGTTTTCTAATTTTTTTTTCCACGAACCAGAGAGCGTCTTCATCTTTATTAACTTTCTGCATTTCATTTTCATATAGGTGGCCACGGACGCCTTCATTCATAAAGTCTACAACCTTATATACTGGAATTCCTTGCATGCGCTGACTCACTTTGAAAATTTCCCTCGTATGATCGATCAAATACCATATTTTTATGATTGATTGATTGATTGTTGGTTGCTTAACGTCCAGTGGCAAATATTTCATGCATATTCAGGACGAGAACAAGTTAACAATAAATACAATAGATAGGTTCTGTAATAGGGGCTTCCGGGATTAAAGTCGGAGAAATTTAGACTGCCACGGGAAATGAGGGTATATTGGATAGGGACAGAAATTTAGCCTTGTAACAGGTCACCTACGGACCCCTCAAAGAGTTGTTGCAAGGGTTCTTAACGTGCAAAGAACGTGGCACTTTCTTTACACGAGGCATCGGATTTAACGTCCCCATTCTGACCGGACGTGGCTGCAAATTTGTACATCCCGCACAGCCAAACGGACGCCCCACTTTAGCACGGGTTTTACTGCCGGTCGGAGGAAGACCAATGGTGACCATACTTCTATTCCCCAGTCACCCTTGGGGGGATGTGAAATCCTCGTTGATTGATTGATTGATTGTTGGTTGCTTAACGTCCAGTGGCAAATATTTCATGCATATTCAGGACGAGAACAAGTTCACAATAAATACAAAAGGTAGGTCCTGTAATAGATTAAGGGATTATGGTCGGAGAAATTTAGACTGCCACGGAAAATGAGGGTATATTGGATAGGGACAGAAATTTAGCCTTGCAACAGGTCACCTACGGACCCCGGTCGGAGGAAGACCAATGGTGACCATACTTCTATTCCCCAGTCACCCTTGGGGGGATGTGAAATCCTCGTGAAGTCACCAATTTTATAATGATAAGGTGTAATGTTTAGGTTTTTTTCCGTGGTTTTAAATACATAAATGCCCATATATCTGCCTCGTTATCTACAGTTACATCTTGTGGTGCAACATTATTCAGACTTCTATGGGGGGTTGCATTGTAACTCTTGACAAGATCTTGAAGGACGTCAATGTAGCGGTGATTTCTGTTTTTTGTAAAATAGCGTGGCACTCTCTTTACACGAGGCAACGGATTTAACGTCCCCATTCTGACCGCACAGGCAAACGGACGCCCCACTTTTGCGAGGGTTTTACTGCCGGTCGGAGGAAGACCAATGGTGACCATACTTCTATTCCCCAGTCATCGAAAAAACTTTAATCTGAGGTAAAGAAAAGTATATTAGTAAACAAATCTGAATGATGTTACAAGCCCCAATTAAACAACAATTGATTGATTGATTGATTGTTGGTTGCTTAACGTCCAGTGGCAAATATTTCATGCATATTCAGGACGAGAACAAGTTCACAATAAATACAATAGGTAGGTTCTGTAATAGATTAAGGTCGGAGAAATTTAGACTGCCACGGGAAATGAGGGTATATTGGATAGGGACAGAAATTTAGCCTTGCAACAGGTCACCTACGGACCCCTCAAAGAGTTGTTGCAAGGGTTCTTAACGTACAAAGAGCGTGGCACTCTCTTTACACGAGGCATCGGATTTAACGTCCCCATTCTGACCGGACGTGGCTGCAAATTTGTACATCCCGCACAGCCAAACGGACGCCCCACTTTAGCACGGGTTTTACTGCCGGTCGGAGGAAGACCAATGGTGACCATACTTCTATTCCCCAGTCACCCTTGGGGTTAAACAACAATTGTCGAGAAGGTTAAACACATTCATTACTGCTATTATCGTAGTCGAGGACTGAACTTTGTACTTTAAGTCACACAGGTAATTTAAAAATAATTTTCACGTTCATATTATTTGGTTAATTCTCTTCGTTAAATCATTTAAATTGATAGTCAACTCCTTTTCCCTTTAATTAATGAACTTAATTATTGAAAGTATAACAACTGCATGTGTGGTGAAAAACCTTGGTTTCCACGATTGGTGTATCATTAAATACAGGATTTCCCCTTTGAAGGCGAAACAGGAAATAAATAACTTTGACATTTCGTGTATTTGGTTGTGAAAATTAAGAGAACAAGCTTAAACATTAATGAAATTGATCCAATTTATCTTATGACTAGAACTTTCAAACTAATATATCATGAACAGCTTTACCTTTAAATAAGGATTAAAAGTATCCATGATATTAAGAACGAAAGTCACTTATCCTATCAGCAATGTGACAACGCCTCTTTTTCAATGTGTCGCGCAGGTAAATGAAAAATAATATTGTCGTTGTATGTATATATGGTTGTGCCAATATCAATTCCCCCATAATATTTATTCCAAAGAACTGGTACCATATATCAAATTTTCTTCTATTGGGAACTTTCCTCCAGTAATATTTTATCTAATGCTACAAGATAATATCATTCTAAAAGAAATTTTGTAATGTGTTCAAAAGTTCTTTAGAATTAATATTAATATCAACGTTTAAATCAGTGAATAAGAAATCAATCTATGGTTAAATAAAGTATCTAGGAAATAAATTCTAAATGATGTCACCAGCCCCAAATTATCCCACGATTGTCGTGAAGGAACACACATTCATTATTGTTTTTGAAGATGTCAAGACTGAACTTAGTACTTGAGGTCACACAGGTAATTTAGAAATAATTTTTACGTTAATAGTATTAGGTTGATTCTCTTCGTTAAATCATTTAAATTGATAGTCAACTCCTTTTCCTTTTAATTAATGAACTTAATTATTGAAAGTATGTGTGGTGAAAAACCTTGGTTTCCACGATTGGTGTATCATTTAATACAGGATTTCCCCTTTGAAGGCGAAACAGGAAATAAATAACTTTGACATTTCGTGTATTTGGTTGTGAAAATTAAAAAAACAAGCTTAAACATTAATGAAATTGATCCAATTTATCTTATGACTAGAACTTTCAAACTAATATATCATGAACAGCTTTACCTTTAAATAAGGATTAAAAGTATCCATGATATTAAGAACGAAAGTCACATATCCTATCAGCAATGTGACAACGCCTCTTTTTCAATGTGTCGCGCAGGTAAATGAAAAATAATATTGTCGTTGTATGTATATATGGTTGTGCCAATATCAATTCCCCCATAATATTTATTCCAAAGAACTGGTACCATATATCAAATTTTCTTCTATTGGGAACTTTCCTCCAGTAATATTTTATCTAATGCTACAAGATAATATCATTCTAAAAGAAATTTTGTAATGTGTTCAAAAGTTCTTTAGAATTAATATTAATATCAACGTTTAAATCAGTGAATAAGAAAGCAATCTATGGTTAAATAAAGTATCTAGGAAATAAATTCTAAATGATGTCACCAGCCCCAAATTATCCCACGATTGTCGTGAAGGAACACACATTCATTATTGTTTTTGAAGATGTCAAGACTGAACTTAGTACTTGAGGTCACACAGGTAATTTAGAAATAATTTTTACGTTAATAGTATTAGGTTGATTCTCTTCGTTAAATCATTTAAATTGATAGTCAACTCCTTTTCCTTTTAATTAATGAACTTAATTATTGAAAGTATGTGTGGTGAAAAACCTTGGTTTCCACGATTGGTGTATCATTTAATACAGGATTTCCCCTTTGAAGGCGAAACAGGAAATAAATAACTTTGACATTTCGTGTATTTGGTTGTGAAAATTAAAAAAACAAGCTTAAACATTAATGAAATTGATCCAATTTATCTTATGACTAGAACTTTCAAACTAATATATCATGAACAGCTTTACCTTTAAATAAGGATTAAAAGTATCCATGATATTAAGAACGAAAGTCGCTTATCCTATCAGCAATGTGACAACGCCTCTTTTTCAATGTGTCGCGCAGGTAAATGAAAAATAATATTGTCGTTGTATGTATATATGGTTGTGCCAATATCAATTCCCCCATATTTATTCCAAAGAACTGGTACCATATATCAAATTTTCTTCTATTGGGAACTTTCCTCCAGTAATATTTTATCTAATGCTACAAGATAATATCATTCTAAAAGAAATTTTGTAATGTGTTCAAAAGTTCTTTAGAATTAATATTAATATCAACGTTTAATTCAGTGAATAAGAAATCAATCTATGGATAAATAAAGTATCTAGGAAATAAATTCTAAATGATGTCACCAGCCCCAAATTATCCCACGATTGTCGTGAAGGAACACACATTCATTATTGTTTTTCAAGTTGTCAAGACTGAACTTAGTACTTGAGGTCACACAGGTAATTTAGAAATAATTTTTACGTTAATAGTATTAGGTTGATTCTTTTCGGTTTAATCATTTAAAATGATCGTCAACTCCTTTATCTAAGTGATTAATTAACATAATTATGCAAAAGTTACATTAGTTGGTGAGAAGAAAGACCTTGGTTTCCACGATAGGACTTCATTTAGTACAGGATTTTCCCCTTGAAGGCGAATCAGGTAAAACAATTATTTTGACGTTTACGGTATTTAGTTTAATTAAAAATTTATAACAAACTTATAGATATTTCAGATGATCTAACTTAACTTATACCTAGGACTTTCATACTTATATATAATGAAGAGCAAACCTTACAATGAGGCACGAAAATATTCATAATATTTAGAACGAAAGTAACCTATTGTTGTGATCCCGAGTAAATATATAAACTTACCCAAGACGTTTCTTGGCGTCGATTACTTGGATGTCTTTCTGGTAAAATTAGTTACTGTCGTCTTGACTTTTTGGTGTACCGGAAAGAGAGAGAAGGCATCATGGGATCGGGCAACTTCCGGCAGGGTCTGGCTTAGTACCAACGAATACCACACTCCCCCCAGCTTTATATTTTTGTTGTACGTTTTAGAATTTAATGATTCTTTGCCAAATTGTCCAAAATAATAACTGAATTTTCCAGGTGGGCCCCCTCCGATGAGAGGGGCCCAGATTAGACAAAGGTACTAGTTATATCTGTATTTGGGGCTGCTAAATTAAGTTAACCCTGTTGGTATGTACAGCCAGCCCCTTACCCCTTCCAGCAACGATCCCCGTCCCCTCAACCCCTTGGTGATGCCCCCTTGATTAGGATGGGGCTAGTAAGTTATTAAAATAAACTTAAAAATAAACTTAAAAATAACCGTCCTCTCTGGACAAGTTCTAACAGATATTTACACATATATACACAACTGCTTACAATGACTAAAAATATATACACAACTGCTTCCCCTACCTACACCCTATAAAGAGCCCGTGCATTGCTGGTGGTGGCCTCCAGCAATGCCCAAAGGGTGTCCCCTGACCTAAAGACCAATAGTCCCATTGCCACCTCGGCAATATACTGGGAGTGCCCATAGCTGTGGTTGGGCACCCATGACGGCCTGAAATAGGGGGCATCACTCTCTAATAGTATCCTTTCCAGGGGGAGGGACGACACCACTTGCCCTTGTTCTTGGTCGAACCGGATTACCTCCCCCGTAAACCCGAAAAAGACATTGGGGAAGGCATCCCTCCACCGCCTTGCTTCCTGCATGCCCCCGTCAAAACAATGGAGGTGAATCCTCTGCTGAGGGGCCACCCTCTCCCGGACTGTGGTGAGGACTTTTAGGTGCGCCTCCGCACTATGGCGATCCTCGGGAGCCCCTCTAATGTGGAGAATGAGGGGAACCTCTGGCCTCCCCTTGCACAGGTTCAGGACCCACCTTAGGGTGCTAACTTGCCTTTGAAGAGGTGGGTCCCGCTGGCTTTGGTCCAACCCAACTTCTCCAATGGCCCTCACCCCAGGCAACCCCACCAGCTGTTCCATCTTGCCAAATGAACTATCGTCCAGCTGATGGGCCTTTTTGGGGTGAACTCCTATAGCCGTGACCCAGGGTGATCCTCTAGGGGGTTCCTGCAATGCCCATGCAGATGGCCATGTCCCTGGGTCACAATAGACCATAACCCCTCCCACTAGGTCCACTGGGTTTCTGGGGGGGGTGGGAAGGCGCATCTCGATGAACCGTTGCCGGTCCATCCTTCCGTTCATCCTCCATTGCCTCCACCCCCGGTCCAAATGGAAGTGGGAGTCGAATGCAGGTGGTGTGGGGCCTCTAACTGCACTCAGGTTTTCCACAAATAATTTTTTCCCTGGAGGGGAGTCGGAGGGGGACCTCAAAGGATCTATTCCCCCCTCTGCCTGTCCTAGCTGGCCTGCTGGGGACCCTGTGGCTGCCCTGGGTCCTTGCAACCTAAACATTCCCCTGAATGCCTCTGCCCTATCTCCCAACTCTCCCATTATGGCTGCCTGGACCCTCCAGTCAATGAGGGCTCCAGGAGAGTTAACCGGCGCTGTCGAAAAGTATGGGGGAACTGGTCGTCCCCCTTCCAGGCATACTTCTTCCATCTGGCCCTGGACTGCCTGCCCAATGATGTGGGGTCGGGTTATTGCCAGCCTATTAATGTGGGTAACCAAATCCTCTAGGTCCCCACCCACTAGCATCCAGGCCTGTGCTTGTAGCGCTGCTACCCTGATTGGTGCAAGGGAAGCCCTTTCGGATGGATCGGATGATTCTCTGAATACTTCAGCCACATGTTCCAGCATCACATGTGGCTGAATATCCAATGCCCTTATGGGGCAACCCTGGATGGGGCACTGCTGTAGGGTGGGGAGGTGGCTCTCCCTTGGCGGTGTAGGTCCTTGGGGTGTCCTCTGGCCTGACACCCCAGTCTCCCTCAGCTGGTAGTCTGGTTGGGGTGTCCTCTGACTTGACACCCCAGTCTCCCTGGCTTGGTGGTTTCCTTGGGGTGTCCTCTGGCCTGACACCCCAGTCTCCCTCCGCTGGTAGTCTGATTGGGGTGTCCTTTGACTTGACACCCCAGTCTCCCGTGCTTGATGTTTTTCTTGAGGTGTCTCATAGCCTGACACCCCAATCTTTCTCCCTGTGTAGTAGTTCAGGGGTGTCCTCTGTCCTGACACCCCTGTCACCTTGGACGTATAGCCACGTTGGGGTTTCCCTTGCCACGACACCCCTGTCCCCCTTCTTCCTCCTCCCCGGAATGAGCTCTGTGCGGACATCCCTGCTCCATCCCTGGCTCCGGACTGGGGTGCCCGCCTCTCTTGGGCCTCTCTGAGGGCTCTCTGCAGTCTGGCCATTTCTCCTGCCTGGCGTTCTTTCTGCTTATTCCTCCTCCTCTTCCTCTCCTGTGTAGTTTCCTTACTACCCTGAAAACCCCTACCCAGTGGAGGCGCGCTGTGAGCATTCCGGTCGGCTGGAATGCCCACAGGGGTGCCCCTAGCCATCGGGACAGCGGCCCCTGGAGTGCTCCTGGAAACGGAACAGCGGCTCCTTCCTCCACTGGGGTCCCTAACTGTACCCTCCCTACTGCCTGACCGAGCCCTTCCCCGGGAACTGCGGCTCCCATCCCTGGTGTTCCTGACTGCCCCAGAACCCCACTCTAGACTTGTGTCTCCAGCCTTTGGGGAGGAGTCCCGGTGGTCCCCAGAGATGGCTTTTCCTGGAACCTCAGCTTCCCCACCTTGGGCCTTGGGCTCTCCCTGGTTTGGGATACCCCTTTCAACTGAGGGGACCCTATTTTGGTGTCGTCCCCTGGGGCTTACCTCTCTCTCTTCTTTCTTTTCCTCGGCAGCCCAACTCCTCTTCGGGCTGCCCCCAGTGCTATCATCATCACTGGACATCTGTCTTTTCTGCAAATACAAAAAAATACAACATTGTGAGGCCCAACTTACTTACATCTGGCCTCTTCATTCAATATAGCAGCTATTTAACTAGGTACTCCGGTGTGTAAATAGTTGCCTTCATATGTACAATCTCTTAAAACTATTTACAATGACTAAAAAACTTCTTATGTACAACAGCATTATTACAGCAATCTATTCTGAACCCTTCCTACGGGCTGACCTTCGCGGTCCAGTAGGGTTCAGACTAGCTTGCGGTGGATCTGGTCTATTTATTTTTGTCTTACAACCAGAGCATACATAGTCCTGGTTTTCCCACTCTTCAGCTTCCCATGGAGAGATTCCCACGCACCTACCATGGTACCACTCATTGCACCTGTCACAGGAGATCATAAACTCTCCCGTATAAGGTCCTCGACAAATGCAGTACAGTGCCCCAGTACTTCCCGTGGAGGCATTTGTTTTCCTGCCTTCAGTTGATTGTAGGGTGGGGGGCACCAGGTCCACCCCGACAGCACCTTGAACGCTATCTTGTGAAGGGCTTGCTGGGTTATTAAGTTGCATTGCTTGGGCCACCCCTCCCTTTTGAAGCTCTACTATTGCCCGATTTACCCATGCTGGTAGCTCCCTATCCCTACACAGCTTTAAACGGTCGTGGTTTACCGTGGTGAGAGCTTTCTTCATTTTTACCTTATACAGGTAAGGGGATATCCTTTCAAGGATGACCCCTGGTCCCCTCCACATAGGGCTTAGCTTCTTGCACTTACCTGGCAGTGAAGCTGTGTCCAGCTTATAGATAACGTCCCCTACCTTGTACTGACGGGCAACTACCCTGAGATCGTAAGCTTGCTTAGCTCTAAGTTGGGAGGTCTTGAGGTTTGCCCTCGCAACCTCATGGGCAGACTGTATGGCCTCTTCCAAGTCACCCACATAACCTGCCAGGTCTGGAGGTGGCCCTGTTTTTGGTGGCCTGAACATTAACTCAGCAGGGAGGTTTACCTCTCTGCCCAACATGAGGCGATTGGGGGTAAACCCGGTGGATCGATTCACTGATGCCCTAATTGCCCCCGCTAATTGAGGAATGTGTAAGTCCCAAGTTTTCTGATTGGTCCCCACAAAACACCTGATGGAGGCCAGGAGGGTGCGATTAAATCTCTCCACCTGACCATTAGCAGAAGGGCGATATGGGGTGGTCCGAGCCTTGTGGATGTGGAGCAGCTCACAAACTGATTGGAAGAGTAAACTCTCAAAATTTCGTCCCTGGTCTGTAAATATTTCGTATGGATACCCAAACCTACAGAAAAAATCGTTAACAGCCGCCCTTGCCGTGACTTCAGCCGTCTGAGAGGGGAGGGGGATACACTCCACCCACTTGCTGAATTGATCTACAATCATGAGCAGGTGATTATTTGCTCTATCTGACTTTGGTAAGGGCCCTACAAAATCGAGGTGCACTCTCTCCATAGGAGCCCCAGCATGAAACATTGTCATTGGGCACCTTGCAGTCTTATTCGGTTTCTTGCTCTGGTTACATGCCGAACAACTTGCTACATAGCCCTCCAAGTCCTTTTTAAGCCCATGCCAGTAGTAAAACTGTTTTACTCTTTCTTGGGTTCTAGTCATGCCCTGGTGCCCAGCTGAGGGGATGTCATGGCATAATTCCATAATGTCCCTCCTCCATTCTCGGGGTACCAGCAACCTGTTTCCCTCTCCATCTTTTGCATGATACATTATCATTCCCCGTCCATCCCTACTGAACCGTTCCTTGATTGTCCAGTAAAATTTTGCTGGTTGGCTACTCCGGAACAGGTCCCCCTGAGCAGGTTGACAACTGTTATCGTCAAGCCACTCAGTGAGCCACTTAAATTCAGGGTCTTTGCTCTGTGCGTCACAAATTTGTTCAACAGAATATTTCCCTAACACCACCCCAAGCCCATCCTGGACAACCCGGATGGAACATTCTGGGTCGTCTGGGACTATCACCACATCTCTACCTACAGTGGCCACTGTCACCCGTGATATGCAAATACCCTCATCAGCTGTTTTTGGATCCACAACGGGTATTTCATCTAAAAACCCAACCTCGGCAGAATCTTGGCCAGTTACCAGTATTTCGTTTACAGATCGTCCCCCCACACCTGTTCCTTTGGATGCCAATGGGATCACATCATCCACATCGGTCATAAATTTAGACCACTGTGTTTGAGCCCTTGCACAGTACGGACAACCCCCACATGGCAGGGTTGCCAGGTTGACATCGATTTTAAAGTCCTGACATGGAGAGTCAATAGGCATTCTGGACAGGGCATCCGCGTTTATGTGCTTGGAGCCCGCCCTATGTCGCACCTCCATGTGATATTGGCTCAACTCCTCGAGCCACCTGGCCAGCTGCCCTTGAGGCTGCTTAAAGCGAAGCAGCCAGGTGAGACTACTGTGGTCTGTGCGGACTACAAAATTCCTTCCCAGCAAGTAGTGCCGGAACTGTCTGGTGAAGCGTACTACTGCCAGGAGCTCCTTCCGGGTAGTGCAGTACCGCCTTTGCTCTGGAGTTAGAGTAAAACTGGCATAGCAAACTACCCTTTCCTCGCCGTTTTGTATTTGGGACAAAACTGCCCCTAGTGCATAGTCTGAGGCATCTGTGTCTAGGATAAATGGATCAGAGGTATTTGGTAGGGCCAGTAGGGGTGCAGAGGTGAGAGCCTCCCGCAATTTATCAAATGCCTCCTGCTGTGTTTCCCCCCATGTGAAAGACCTTTTGCCTGTAACATCTTGAAGGGGGCCTGCGATTTTAGAATACCCCTCAATGAAAGCCCGGTGATAGTTGGCGAACCCCAGAAAACGTTCTACCGATTTAGTATTGTGAGGGGTTGGCCATTTCTTCACATCCTCTATATAGCCGGGGCCAATATTCATACCCTGCCTGCTCACTACTCTGCCAAGGAATTCTACCTGTTCTTGAAACAGTTCACATTTCTTTGGCTTGAGCTTGAGGCCGTATTCCCTAAAGCGCTGTAAGACTGCCCTCAGGTTGGCCAGATGAGAAGCTATATCTTTTCCCAGAACCAAAATGTCATCCAGAAAGGCCAACACTATATCCCAGGTTAACCCCCTTAGAACCAAGCTTATGACCCTGGCATAAGTAGCTGGGGCATTACAGAGCCCAAATGCCATCCTGGCAAACTCAAAAAGGCCGTATTTTGAAATAAATGCGGTTTTAGACCTATCCTCCTTCTTGATTTTCACTTGCCAATACGCTGAGTTAGCGTCCAGCTTAGAGTACCATCGATTCCCTGCAAGGGTATCCAGGCACTCTTCTACTAAAGCTAACGGGAACACATCTTTTACACAGGTCGAGTTCAGGGATCTATAGTCAATGCACCACCTGACCCCCCCATCCCTCTTTCTTACCAGTACCGGGGCAGAGCACCATTCAGAAACTGAGGGCTGAATGACCCCTGCCTCCAACATTTTCTTTAAGTGGGCCTCCTCTTCCTGAGCAAACCCGATAGGGGTTCTTCTCATTCGTTGCTTTATCGGAGGGTGTCCCGCGGTGTCAATTTGATGCTCAATTGCTGAAAAGTTCCCTAAATCAAACTCACTTGCTGCAAAGACATCCCCGTACTCCCTTAACAGAGATGCCAGAGCTTCTTGCTCTTGGCTTCCCAGTAGTGCCTTGGAGCGATCAAAGAGGTCCCTGAGATGCTCTGGGACTCCCTGGTCCGACTCTGTTGGGCCAGTACCCACCCCTGTACCTACTACTCGTACCTTTGTGGGGACCTCTATGGGCTCCACCTCTACTGCCTGGGCAATTAATTCCCCCTGATGCACATGTACATGCTTATCTGAAGTATTTATCAGACACACTACTGGTTGGCTCCCCCCTGCATGTAAAGTGCGGGGAACCAAAAGACCAGAGTGACTGCCTGCCTCGACAATGTAACTTGGCATTTCGCAGTTGACCTGACAGCTGAGCTTCATCACTGAATTGGGCGGCACCGTAATTTTATTACGTATTGTCACATTAGCTACCCTGGGTGCCTGCCCAACCTTACCCATAGTCATGGGTATGACCTCGTCCCCTACCCGCAGCTGTCCATCGGACATTTGTAAGTCGATACAATGTGCCCTTAATAAGTCAAAACCCAACAGCATGTCGTCCTCTATAGGGGCCACGTACAGATTTGTCTGTATAAGCTTGGAACCCAGTTCCAAATTCACGGGCCCGACAACATACCCGTTCATTTGCATCCCCTTTCCTGCTGTATTCATGATGACTTCCCTGAGGATGGGTGGGACAGATTTTAGGGACCTGTATACCTCTTCTGATATAAGGGTCACTTCTGCCGCAGTGTCCACTACGGCAAACAAACTCTGCCCCTGAACTTTAATGGGTACCCTAAATACCGTTCCGGAACGGAGCTGACAGACAGTGACTATCTCACAATCGTTCTCCTCATCCACTAATGTGGTGTCTGCTTCCCCCTCTGAAGAGGAGGCCCCACTGTTATGGGCTTCCTCATTATTTTCTAGGTCATTATCAATGGTTCTTACCGCCCTGAGAGGACTATGGCCTTCAGTGGAGTCCCAGTTACCCTGGGGTTCTCCATAACTGGCCATAGTTACTGCTACCGGGCTTGTATCTTCGCATTCAAACCATAAGCTCCCTGGTATTTCTCCCCTCTCCTCACCCCCAGGGTCCCCCTGATCTTTGGTAAGCACTGACTGAACAATAGGGCGTCCAAATTTGATTTGTTCTCCAGAGTCTAGATGAACAACCCCCATAAAGAACTTGCCGGGCAGGACTCCTGCCTGGTTACCCGGGCATAATATAGCCCTACTAGGTGCCCAAAAGAACTCGTAACCCTCGGCCTGAGCCCTTGGTACATCTATCATTATCTGTACTTCCCAATGAGGCTTGAAGGTGGGGGGTACCTCACTCAATAGATGAATGTGCTGCCTTTTCTTTCGTCTCAATCCTTCCTCTTCTATATCCCCCCAGGCAAGCATGGTTGTGTAGTGGTAGGCATGGGCAACAGTGTTTTCCTCTACTGAGGGCATACCGAAAGATCCCACTTCAATGGAATGCCCCTGGTTTGCCTTTATTTTCCACCAACCATGATCTTGGTCCCTCTCTAAAGTGAAACGTTTGTCCACGTCTACCCCAACCAAACGGGTGAGCTCCTTAATGGTGTACCCCGACAACCCTGGGTGCCTAGACAGGAGCTCATCAACATACACAAATCCCCCAGGGAGAACCTTGAGTCCCCATTTACTGGCACCATGCCGCAACACATATATCAGTGTTTTTGACAAGTGACGGTCAACTCCATGGTCTTGAATGACTTCCTCCTCTGAATCGGAGGAAGCATTCTCCTTATCCTCTAATGGGCACTCAGACGCTAGGTTATTTACAGACTCTGGGTCCTGGGTGCCCTCCACTTCCGACTCTGTGTCCAGGGTGCCCTCCCCTCCAGACTCGAATGATAACACTCCCTCTGCCTCTTGTATTTTTATGGGCATTACCTCTTTCCCCTGACAAACTGATTCTGGACCATGATATCCCAAGGTCACTTCCCCCACATTTTGATCCCTAAACTGCACATCTGTTGACAGGCCAAACTCTATTTTTGGGGGCTTGCTCTGACCTGTGGAGCTGCCCCGTTGGAGTTTAACGAATTTGGTGTTGTACGAGTTTGGTCAGCGAAAGTGACAGTTCTCTCTTTAGACCGCAGATCTGGGCACTCATTTCGAATATGCCCAGGCTTATAGCAGTGATAACATATACTTTCCCGCCCAGACCCTCGATATGGGGATGGGCTTCTTGATTGTGACCTTCCCCTAAATTTTGGGCAGTCCCGTTTGAAATGTCCTCTCTCCCCACAGTGGAAACATTCTCCTGTTGCTGGCCGTCCGCCCGGTGAGGGGCTTCTTGCCAGAGGGCGAGTGAGGAGTTTCCTAAATTGGTCCATCATGTCATCCAATTTTTCATGCACTTGACCCAACTTATTTTCAAATTTTTTATTGGTCTTTTCCAATTCACTTTTCCAAGTACTCGCTGGGGCCCTCTCAGGGGCCATAGTAGCCCTTACCTGCGGTACCTGGTACTCGTGGAACACCTCTGGGTGGTCGTCATACCGGCCACCCATTACCTGCCTAACCTCACGCCTAGTTGGCTTCCCATATATTGCCTGGGTATTGTGCTGGAATAGCCGTATTTTATCTACGGCCTCCTCTATGCTTTGGGGCTGGAGATTTGAGACTTGCACCCCCAACTCTTTGTTTTCAATACCCTGGCACAGCCGCATTACGGCCTGCTCATACATATAGTCATCAGGGAGGTTTCTAAAGGCCCTGGTGGCCAAGGACAACACCCGATCAGCCCAGTCCTCGAGAGACTCCTCAGGGGCTTGCCGGGCATTGTTGAACTGGACCCGGGCGGTCTCAGGGAGTGCCTTGAAACCAAAGCGCTTGTGGAGCTTCTCCACAAGCTCCTTATAACTCACCTCCCTGTCTCTTTCCGTTATGAGGGCATAATACTCGCTGGCCTTCCCCTCAAGGCACCAGCAAAGTTGGTCTTTACATTCCTGCGGACCCCATTCACAAACCTCTGCGTACCTTGCAAATTTTGTGAAAAAGGCCTGCCAGTTGCCCTTCCCATCATACTTAATATTTTTTGGGGCATTGCTAACTTTAGAGACTGCACCTAAAGTTGCTCGTGCCCCACCTCTGCTGTCAGGTCCCCTTATGTTTTCCCTGGGCCTATCCTCATTGTGTGGCATTGGGTAAGCATGTTGCCCGTAGCTCCCCCCGGTGGTGACCCCTTGTGGGGGCACCGGTGTATACCCTTGGTTGTACGGATTATGGGATTGCCTATCCCCATAGGCACAGGCAGGGGTCCGCCTTTGGTCCTCACCCCTGTTGTCTTGCCACTTGCCATACCTACTGCGGGGTGTTTCATACTGTCCCCCACCAGTGTGAGCTGGTTGGGTACAGGGTGCTGACCCCTGACCTGCATAGTTGCTCGTGTGACCCATGGGGTATGAAGGTGCGCCCCTTTTGGTTGGAACGGTTTTGTCCCATGCACTGGCTTCCCCTGGCCAGTGCTGTTTGGTCTTAATACTACTCCCTTGATGTTGGGGATTACCTTGGTTTGGGTCACCCATAATGGGTTGACTCCACTCATTTTTTGTAATTTGTTCCCTGTATCCCCCATCCCAATTTTCGGGGGTCTTAGGTCTAGCTCCAGCATCCCCAGGATATGGGCTACACTCAAGAAAGGCAGAGTCCATCTGACTGGGCCCATCCCAGGGCCCAGGACTTTGCCCCTGATGCCATGCCTCTTGCTTAAATGCTGATGGGACATGTACCCGTGATGGGGTGCTTTGTGAGGCAACGTGTCCCCCATCTATTAGTGTGTTAACCCTGTTCAACATTTCATTATGCCTGCCTTGGGCCTCAGGTGGTGGCCCACTATTTTGGCCACCCCCAATTTGATTGAAGTCAAGTCTGGACAAGAGGGCCATTGTCACTCGTAGATGGGAAATTGTGGCTAGGTCTGACTCAGTCACAAAGCCCTTGCCCTCCCTTATGTCCATAATTTGCTCCCCAGTTTTAATTCCTATACCTGGGAGCTGAAGTAACTCTTGAAAGCTACAAGTGTTTATGTTTATAATGGACATTGTAACTGTAAACAATTAACACTGATTTTCAACAAAGTTTATTTATTTATCAATAAACAACAACAACCAACACTTTTAATAAAACAGATGTTTTTATTTTATTTTATTTTATTGAATAACAAATACTTCCGCTATGGGTAACCCGTCCTTCTGGTCTGCGGTTAGTAGCGGTAGCGAACAGAACAATAATACGACTGGTAACCCGTCCTTCTGGTCTGCAGTTATCAGAGGTAAACAGAACAATAACAACACGACTGGTTCCCCGTTCCTCCCAGGTCACGTGATCCAAGTCGTCTTGAAAATACAAAAAAACAACAAATACTCAATACTACGCAAAAAACAGGGGTTCTACCGCGCTGCAAAACCCCTGTGATGCTATGTAATATGCTCTCCCAGAGTATTACACAACAAAAAACGATCGGCAAAGGTTTCCCCCGAATCCTTTACCGCGGGAAATTCTGTTGAAGCGAACCTCGCCTCAACTCACAAAATGAGCCCTAAATTGCAAATCACCACGCAAATTAGTGCTCGCAGCGCCAATGTTGTGATCCCGAGTAAATATATAAACTTACCCAAGACGTTTCTTGGCGTCGATTACTTGGATGTCTTTCTGGTAAAATTAGTTACTGTCGTCTTGACTTTTTGGTGTACCGGAAAGAGAGAGAAGGCATCATGGGATCGGGCAACTTCCGGCAGGGTCTGGCTTAGTACCAACGAATACCACACTATCCTTTGTATCGTATTTTATCAGTCATGTGACAACACCTGTCTCAGTGTGTGTCGCACATGTAAATGAGATATAATACTGTCGTTGTATGTATGGTTTGTGCCAATTAAACATTTATCATACAACAGAAGTTCACTTGGGAACTCTCTTTATATAATATTTTATTTAAAATATTTTATTCAAACCTATATGAATTTCCTTCAGAAAGGATTTTTGTTATATGTGTGAAGAAAAATATTATCGTTATGCAACTTTAAGTGTAACATGTAACAGCCACTATGTTCCGTCAGTTACTTTGTTCCGATGGAACTTTCCAACTAGTTGTTTTATTCCGAGTGCAGTCGAAAAGTTCCGGAAAAAAGTAGCTAGTTGAAAAGTCCCGGAACAATGTAGCTAGTTGAATAGTTCTGGCGGAACAGAACAACTAGTTACATCGTTTTGAATATACCATATTTCGTCCTTTTTGTAGAAAGAGGGGGAAGAATGAGTATCAGTATATATAAGAGCAAATCATTAATTTACAAGAATACCCAACGCACTGAAAGGGGTTTCTTTGGGGACAAATATGCAAAATTTAAGTTGTATTTCATAGCTCACATAAAACGGAATAAGTTGCATTATCATGCAAATTAAGTATTCATAGTATCCTCAAGAGAGGGAAGAATACCCTCCTCCTCATGTGGTTCTTTGCATCAATTCTCCAAATGGAACTTTGTGACTGGTTGATAAGTTCCGTTGGAACTTTTGGGCTAGTTTGTTAGTTCCGGTTTTGACTTATTTGCCAAAGAGGAACTTTGTGGCTAGTTGATAAGTTCCTTTTGACTTTTGTAATCAGTATCTTGGTTCCCCTTTGAAAGGTTCAAATATAATATGTTGCGCTTTTACTTTGCATCAATTCTCCAAATGGAACTTTCTGCCTGGTTGATAAGTGCCGTTGGAACTTTTGGGCTAGTTTGTTAGTTCCGGTTTTGACTAATTTGGCAAACAGGAACTTTCTAACTAGTTGATATGTTCCGTTGGAACTTTTCAACTTGTCACTTTGTTCCGGTGGAACTTTTAAACCAGAGGAAGAACAAAGTAACTAGTTAATAAGTTCCTCCGGAACTTTTGGGCTAGTTAGTTCTTTCCGCCCGGAACTTTCCAACGTCGGAACAAAAGAGCATTTACATATCACACGTATACGTGTGTTTGTGCTGTGTTGTTGGGTGTATAAGTTTCACTCGTACACGGACGACAAATGCCAAGTATACTCTTTAACAGGGTTACCCTAAAAATCTACTGGTAGCGTGATTAAAGGAATGCTGCTCACATAAATATATAAATGGATCCTGGTGTAGTCTGAACGAAGTCTTGCAAGTGAACTTAAACACAAAGTCGATTAAAAGTTCAATACTGTATTATTCAAAATCCAAAGCACATGTAACAGTAATATAAGTTTACAACATCTAAACTGCAGGCTCAACAACACTGTGGCATAATCTTAAATCTCCTACGTACACTTCTCTCATACACAAAATCTTATCTACTCGTCTCCTCTCGCTTTAGCTATTTCTCTCTTTTATACTACTCTAGTAACCTGATTACAATATGGTTGAATGACTCTGAACAAAGAAATATTCTACAGGAGCTATATTACAGGAGCACGGAGCTTAGGTCAACCGAAGCTGAGGCCAACCGAGGCACCTGTATAAACATAGCAACGGGGCACCAGCTGATTAACATAATTGATTTGACATTTAACAAGTACACTCTTATTGAAGGCGATAAAAATAGATTGTAATGAATAACTTTATAACGGTTAATGAGAATAAGTAATCTGATTATACGATGATAATAAAACCCACTGATGCATGCAATAAATGAAAAACGTTACACATGCTTTAAGTTCATTGGAATAAATGTTATTAATGACAACGTGTTGTGGTAGCAAGGGTAAGGTTTTAAAATGAATGCATTTAGCTGACCTATATATATGAAACCGTGGAGCCAAGATTCAAACAAGTACTTAAGGAGGTAAATGCTAATAGTGCACGTGTTGTCGAGTGATGATATTCATTGCACCTGGGCTGCCATGCTGGGGGTCCAGAAGTCTTACCAGAATACCACAGGCTGTTTCCGTAGTAATTTATTAATGATGCGGTACAGAAAAGGGGAGTATGAACTGGAATGTGTAACTGGCTACAATATTCCACCCTTTCCGAAAAACTATCCATGATGTTGAAGTCTTGAGTATAGAGGTAGTAGTGATGGTGTTTATTGAGTTAATCTTGAATTGGCATCATAAATAACAGTGATCCTTATTTTAAACAAATGTAGATTGTTGAACTATATTTTGAATAAATATAGGTTGTTATGTTCTTCCCGTTGTCTAAACTGTTACCAGAAGGGTGTTGTACTAGTCCTAAGCAAATGTAGATTGTTGAGCTATAGGTCAAATGAAAGTAGGTTGTTGTGTTATTCATGAATAATTCATAAATCCTCAAACATAGTTAAGTTATTTGTAATTGATACTCTTCCTCGACATGTATAAATAATATCCTTGTGGTAATATTAGTGATAATTCCAAATAACAAATAAACTAAGCAACAGTAAGACAATTTAATTTGAAAATACCTTTCACAAATCTCTCACAAATGATTTCGTAATGATCTACAAAAAAATACAATCTAAAGTTCACACATTAGAATGCAATACAAATCATAAACCTTATGATAAATACAACATATCCATGACCCTCCTGATAACGATTGATTGATTGTTGGTTGCTTCACGTTTAGTGTCCTGATATTGAAGGAATAACCACAGTAAAAAAAAATAATATTTATACAATCAGCAAGACAACTATGCCTTGAACTATCATGTAAGTCATCCACTCATTTCAACTTCTTTCCGTATGTTCAGTCCTGACTATCAGCTCCTAGCAAAAGCAGATACATGTTCTTTGTCGATAATAACAAAAAACAATTCAAAGGCTTGAGGCAATAAACAGTCTCTCATTAATGTAATATTAATGCAATAATACTTGTCAAATAGTTACAGAACTTTCTGATGTGTAGATATCATATTCCTCACTATGGCCGTCAAAACAAGATACAATGAATAAAATTAAACCCAATCATCTTAATTCATAAATCACATTCCTGGTCCAAGTTCCATAACTCTTATCCATCAAATATGTACAATTACTAAGTGTATTAAAAAACACTCTGAAGTCCAAATCATAGCCAATGTTAAAACCACAAATCCTAACACTTCACTGGCCGTCAAATCATGAAGCGTCCACAAGATACAATGCATGGAATTAAACACAATCATCTTAATCCATAAATCACATTCCTGGTCCAAGTTCCATAACTCTAATCCATCACATATGTACAAATATTAAGTGTATTACAAACCTTAACACTTAAAAAATACACTACCTACTAGGTATGCAGCCTTAATGGATACATATTAATGATTTCCTAAAGTACAACCATGAGACTAATTATAACATGTCAAAATGCATTAACAACTGGACAAATGGACAAAACCATTTACAATATAGAAAAAAAACACTTAAATAATTTGCGCAGAAACAGCAAATCAAACAACTGATGTGCAAAGATTATTGACAAATTCAATATAAAATAAAAATTGAACAAATTAGATAAAATATTAATATAAATATATATATACACATGAAGAAACTACCACAACTTCGACTTTCAAAGGACACTAAAACCTTCAGAAGAGACAAACCTTAATTCAATATATCACATGAGGCGTGAAGGCTCAATGCAACAAAAACTAAACACCGAACACTGAACCCTCACAGGGGATATACCTTAATTCAATTTAACACACGAGGCGTAAAGCCTCAATGTAATTAAGATCCAGATATTAACTCGTTCTATCAGATCCAACCAGGAAAAACAAAACATATTTTCAAATAAACTAACTTAAACAGCTGCAATCTGTATACATAATTGTGAAATTCAATGTCAAATCATGGAATTCAAAATATCAAAAGTTCTGTTATTTATAATCTATAAAATCCCTTGGCATTTTAGTTAGTACTGTCTATCAAAAAAAGGTAATGGAGTGTTTCTGAGTTTTGCAATATACTCGACAATCTCGCACAAATTCCGTGGGCGAGTTATTCTTCTACCAGGGAATGGAGCCAGGAAAACAGCATCAGATTCCAGTACCAGTTTACGTGCTGGGAAACCAGCAACAATGGTGTCGACCCTCTTGTCGTTCTGCAGTACAACCTTCCCAGTAACGACAACGACGACTCTTGGCAGCTGCTTCCACTTATCTAATTCCTCTAAATCATTCATAAAACAGTGTCGATGAAATTTCAAATGGCTATATCCATGTTGGTGAATGATGTTAGTGCTCTGGCAGCTGCAGTTCCATCATCATGATCTCCACAGTGGATTACTACGGTCCAGCTTAGCTGCCAGTTGAAGCTGCAATAAGACACATTCTTCCTGGTTGGCTCTAATTCTTTCTTTGTAGTCTTTTTCTGATGGAAAACGGAAGCCTTCTCTGACACACTCACAATTGTTGGTATAATACAACCCTGTCTCACCAATAGCCACACATTGATCTGAAAAGATATATTTGGTAAGTTCTTGTTTTTGTCTGTGGGAAATTCCTCTTGCTGCGATGTGTGGATGAACACCAAAAGTTACTTTGATTTTTTTCATTGTAGTTTACTTGCTTCTCCCACTGTCTCCAATGATGGGGAAATACAAAATTTGCAATGCCAAATAATAAATCATTTCTAGTAATAGTTGATACAACTAGTTCTTGGGGATCATCAAACGTATTATAATGTCCAGTTGGAGTTTGAATTTTCTGTAAAATTTCCAGATAGAAATGGCTATCTGTAAATTAAAATAATGTTGTAAGTGTGGCAGGAACATCCACGTGAACATTCTTTCCTGATGATGTTTAAAGACGAGAAGAATTAACAAATATATCCATTCTTCTTTCCGTTCTACAGCGTA